GTGTGAAGGATGGGTTCACGTGAAATAAGATATACATGAGTTGTTTGAAGAAAAATTTATTCATTTATTGATAAAATATGCTCAAATTGGCGACCTTCTAATCTAATACAAGCTCGGCACCTTTTAAGAAAATACGCTTTTAGAGATCTTAAAATCAATTGGGCTATCTCAGCAGCAGCTCCATTTATTTGTTCCCGCAAATGCTCTTCGTTTTGAATTGCTTTTGAATAAATTTTGTCCTTAAGACAGCCCCAGTAGAAAAAATCTAATGGATTCAGGTCTGGCGATTGAGCGGGCCACGTGATTGGCCCGTATCGTCCAATCCATCGGCGAGGATAAGTTTCGTCTAAATGAGCTCTTACTTCTCGCCCGTAGTGAGCAGGGCACCCGTCATTTTGCAGCCATAGTCTTCGCCGCAGGTTTAAGGGTACAAAAGAGTTGGAAGCCGTTCCTGAAGGAACTCTAAATAACTGTGAGAGTTGAGAGTTGGCGGCAGTTCCACAGGTCCCAATATCTGACAATTAAAAATACCGCACCATAAATTTATTTTGTACCGGTACTGCGAACGATCTTCTCTCATTTCGTGAGGATTGTCTGTCTGCCAACTGTGAGGGTTATGTAAATTAAAATAACCATCACGTTTGCATGATGATTCATCGCTCCAAATTATTTTATTAAAAAAGTTGGGGTCTGATTCATGCATCAACATTTCACGGCAACATCTAACCCTCGACAGGTAATCTCTTTCTTGTAGAGCCTGAACACGTTGAATGTGGTAGGGATGAAATCGATGGTCTTGTAAAGCTTTGTGAACTGTAGTTTTTGGTATTCCCGTCCGTCTTTCCATCATTCTCACTGAAGTCGATGGACCTAGTTCTACTTCCTCTAACACAGCTTCAACATCTACCGTTGCAGGACGTCCTGTTTCGCCGCCACGCCTTCCAGGTATGCGACCTTAAAAAAGTGAAAAATGATAGTTAACAAGCAAGCAAACAAGAAAGGTGTAAAAATCACTTACCTTCATATATTTCTCTATGGGTCTGAGCGAATACTTCACGACCCGGATGGCGACGATTGGGGTATCGCTCTGCATAGAGTCTTTGAGCAGCTCTGGCATTACAGCAAGCTTCACCGTAAATTAGGTGAATATCCGCATATTCATGCGTCGTATACTGCGTGTTCTCTGTCATAGTATTAATCACCCTCATTGCGAGAGCGGTGTCGTATGCAAGTCATTTTTCGAGAGTCGAATCGTATCGCAAATTGCACGTCATTGCCTAAAATTTCCATTCGACTAGTGTATTAAAACGGAAAAACTTGGCAGCACTGTATAGTTTTCGACGATTTTCGTCATTTACTTATTTCAGCACGACATGAAACAATGCCAAGTTGTCGAGTCGTACAATTTAGCCTAATTTACGACTTACGCAATGAGGCTGAATAACACAATGTTCGAAGGGTCCAATTTCACAAAATCCACTTTCAATAATTCCGGTAAGTAACACAAAATAATGTCAGGAGCAGGTAATAATGTACCTTTGTACTATTTAGCATGTCATTTGACGGTAACAAGAGCAAATTCAATTTAAATCTATTAAAAACATTCTAGCGTGTCTCAGTCCTTTACCCACAAAAGCGGCTTTA